TTGATATGTAAAATCATGCATACAAACAAAACTATTTACACATTAAATAATTTACCAACACAAAATTTTAATATTTGTATTCATATTTTTATAAATTTATGGAGAAGTCAGTAAACAGAAATTTGTGGGTTTTTTATCCAGTTTTGAGAGTTGTTATGTTGGAGATCTGCACCTTTAACAGTGCCAACTTGGTGGCTTTTGTGGAGTGGGACACTTTGTGAGTTAATGCCATATATTAATGTTAGGAGATTTTATAAAAGTATTTCTTGTTCAGGAAGGCAAATAAGATCACGGAGAGTGGGGTGTTTTTATCGCGTGAAGTTCTGTGTTGGAGAACACGTTTTAAAGGGATGGCCTACATAATACATTCATGTATTAAAAAGTATTGGCAAGAGCAAAATCATGATCGCTTTGTTCACTTAGATTGGTCGATCATTTTTCTAAGATTTCATATTATGTAATAAGACGATATTAACTAACGTAAATACAGGCAGACAGGCACTATGCGAATAAATTCATTTGGACACGCATACGCTGATGTGTCGCTGTTGACATAGCTACTGAACCTGGAGCCACCTTGCTTCAAGTGCCGAAGGTACTTCTAAATCACCCCCCACCGCCTCTCTCATACGACTCTGCGGTTTCTCTTTGAAGTGGCTAATTGAATCTCTGCTCTAGTTGCCCTTGCCACATCACACGTTCAACCTTTCAACCGCCCCTACAACACGCTCCATATCTACCTCGTCATGACGTCATATCTACCTGTCAGCAAGTAGTCATTTACAGTAACGCAGCTGAAATTTATGTGATACGTAGCCTTGTTATATCCACCGCCCGAGCGCATATAAACAATATACGTGTCACAAGATATGTTAAAATAGATGGAGTATTTTGTTATTCATTGGGGGTGCTTGCACTAGGTTAACATCCTGTTATGCTTAGAGCCTAGTTGTGACGTTTGCAGATGATTAACCTCATCATTAATTGTAAATTATTCGGGGTTGTTCTGTGCCATTGCTTACACGATGTAATGAAGTGATGTTCTGCATGTGGATACCAAAATATGCTTTTATTTCCGTGTGCATTTTATCAAACAGATGACAAGATATTGTAGTTTTCTTCAGCAGATGAACATGGTAAATTTATATGCGTTAAATTCAATTAATTCCTCCTTTTATATGTTTTCCAGACAAAACAGTGCATGCTGAAAACATGAATTAACATATATTGGTTGAAGCGTCATGGCCGATTTCATGTAATCTTCCTTAACGCTACAAATGACGAATTTGGATGTGGAAGTAAGCTGCCGTGTGATTTACTGTGAGGTAATAAGCCAGAATTTCCTAAAAGGAACTAAACTTCTCAGGACAACACGTCACAATCATACACGACACTTGTCTAATGCGTACCGAAAGATTCGGTAAGTTCAGCTGTGCGTTATGAGTAGCAGCAGTGTGCGTCCTACACCTGACGTTATTTCTCGACGTACTTCATTATTACGTTTTTTATGTTTGTTTTGGTCTGGTTTCGTACATCTGTTTATGGGCTTTACAAAATTATTCCATTATCCTAAATGTCTCATCTAAAGTGCGTAGATTTTGTTGAAAACCATGTCCCATACGAGTCACCCTTAACCGAAACTTTCCGAATTAACCCCACTTTTCCTCTGGGAATCCCCTAATTGTTAACACAATGAAATAATTGTTCATGAAGACACACTTATTTAGTATTGCTTCAGACAGACATTAGTATGTGACCTTTACGTTTTTCGTGGATGGTGTTTATTTTTTTAACATTGTGCTCTCTACTGCACTTTGACTACGATTTAAACTAAGAATATAGGCCTAATCCACGGATTGCCGGTTTAATAGATGGATGCTCCTGAATACTTACATCGCACGATGGCTGTTGAGGGGGGCAGTGCAATACTGTTTAGCTGTATAGCTTAAGTTACCAGTCAAAAAGTCAGTTTCCGTAGTTCGCCCTTCGTAGTACTTGGTTAGACAGGATAAAACTCCGTTTATTAACCAACATTATCGTCCCGTTTACTTCGGTGTGGCTGTAGTTCAAAGCATTTTCTCCTTTCAGATAATGTACGTGGTGTTAAGGGAAATATTTTAAGCGGTTACGCACGTATAGAAACATAACGGCCTCTAAGGAAAACAGCAATTTTAATGACCACGCTGTGCATTGTAGAGTAGCATTTTATTTTCTACGAAATTGACTATGAACTTTTTAAATAAAATTTTCTTGCATTTGAGGCTTATTGTGTTTTACCTCGCATTTATACCTATATAGTTTGTTAAAAAATCTAAGTACCGAGATATGAACATTATTTTATAACATCTCCATGATAACACGAAATTTGTATCATATACGTACTTTATTTCTAATGGTAGTACCCAATTTCGTTGAATAAAATAGAGTTTTATGTTTATTTACTCACGTAAAATACAGATAAAACAATTACAAGTACCAGTGATATACCTGAACAGAGCTTGTTAGCAAAGATAAACATGAATAAATCTAAGGTAAACTCGGTCCAAGCATTCCATTTTCCATTCATAAGTACCATGTTTGTCTTCTGAATGTTTGTACATCAAATTGCTCATCTTTTGTTTACAGCACAGTACTGCCATTACATGTTCCATTTGAATTAACAGAAAAAAGGTACAATTACTACTGCAACCAAGTTATTGTGTTTATTATAACTGTGTAAGAGTTAACATACTTAAAATGCAGCATTATTTAGCTTCAAAATGTATTCTAAATATTAATGTACGCCTTTAGGGTGTCTTAGAAAGTTTTATAGAACTTTCTAGATCTTATACCGGAGTTCGACGGTTGGAATATTAAGATGGCCGACTTCTTGGTTGTATCTTCGTGTCGTCTGGTGGAGTCCTTCCTGCCTTTATCATTCGGGGCGATGATGGAGGCAGCAAGGAAGTCTGTAAGTTGGTAAACTTCTACCAGAGTACACGGTACCACAACCCAGAAAACTGCTACCTTCGCACTCACCGCTGTGAGAATCTCAAATCCTACGTCTGTAATGTAGATCGCAGGTCAGCCGAATGTCACGTTCCTTTGTTTTTTTTTGTAGGTACACCAAACATACGTATATTCGATCTGTGTGTTAAAGTGCGTCTTCACATTTCCTATTCTACCTTAAGTGTTGTTGATTCTGGGTTTAATAATGTTTTCTCAGTTCCGTGGTTTATACAGCCTTGAACCGAGCGTCGTTCTACAGTGGTGAGCACTTATCTGGAGGTCCAAGTTCAAGTTTCGGCCTGGATACGAGCGATCCTAGTTTTCTCAGTTCTTTCATGAAAATATCAGTACAGTGGCTTAAATGCTTTCTTATTCACGATGTCATAGTCACAGCTATTGGAATCGACTTTAAGTAAACGATACGATACTTAAAGAAAATAAATACAGCGTCAGAGGTAATCGCGATAGGAAGTAATGATTTATAAGAAGGTCAGAGGGAAGCGGTTATGGGCTGTACAAGGCACTTTCTCAGCATTTACCTAGAAGAACGCAGAAATTTTGTGATAAACCCCGAGGTTAGCCTACCTCTGCGCCGAGAGTAGATTCTAGATCCGCCAGCATAGGAGACAAGACAACGTAAAATGTTCGGTACTACTAGTGATCACGCTCTAAATTTTATTTTCATGGAACATTAGGTTTTATTAAAGTGTTTACAAGAGCCCGTCACCAGTTCCTTTCCTGAGCCTGGAAGAATCCATTCCACAGAATCCCGCCCTGGGAACTTAAGATTAGTTTTAATATTCTCCCATCTATCCCTTGTTTTTCCCGCCCATAATATGATTATTTAGATTATTCTATGTTCGACCTCTGGCAAATATGCTGACTTTCTTTGATCACTACGTCTAGAGTGGCACTGAATGTCGTTTACCTTCATACTGTTAAAAATCTAGTAGACCCTGTTTTAAGTGGTAATACGGAATGCGCTTTATTCATGCTATCTTGATTAATACGCTATCAAAAATGACTTTTGCAACACAGAGCTAAATCTTGAAACCTTATAGAAGAATCATATCTCCTAATGGAAGGACCGATACCTGCAAATTCTTTTCATCGACAAACAACACGGACACTACCCACATACAGAATTGTGTTCCTTCAAATAAAGGACCCATGTTCTTAACCACAAGACCAACAACACTGTTGTAGGTTAATGCAAATTGTGTGGGAGATTAGATTACTGAGATAAATTCTGTACGGTTAATAGAAAGTAGCACCTAATTTACGGCTTAAGGGAGCTTAGTTTGCAGAGTTGTTCTCAATCCCTCGATGTTTTACACTGCACTAAATTATTAGTTTTCATGTTGAACATGGTTTTGCCTTACACGGAAACAGAGGGAAGGTCTCGCGGCCACTCACCTACCGAAGCATTCCGATTTAATTTTAAGTCTTAATATTACGATTTGTCTTTGAAGTATATTTCTCTTTGTGGCTGTAATAAGCCGTCTTACCAGCCATTAAGCATTCCAAGGAATGTTATTTCGTTTTAATGCTGAAGGTTTGAAGCATTCACTGTGTCGCATGTTCGGTATTGCGAATGCATGGATATTCTTTGCATTCTTTACCACTGATGACCACATTGGCAACTGGCATCACGTGACTCTTTTTGAAGTTCGAGAATGGGTCTGATAAATTAACTTGTACGCATTAAAAAATTCTCAGGTTTGTGGGATAAAACCGGTTTACCAAAATAGAAACCTAGGGCAGAAATGCATGTTTATTGTTCGGTTCTTTATTTATTTAACGACACGTTATCAGTAGCACAGGTTTCTGTGATGCGTTTGTAAAGGATTTACCGCAATCACTTTGCTTCCAAGAAATAAGCCAAGTGTACCGTAGAAAGTTGAAGTTGGCTTTAAGGCAGAACGGGGCTTTACGTAGCACAGCACATTTCTAACACGCCTGTCGGCAGTTCAACAGAATGGACCTGTGATTGATTCTTCTCTCTTCTGTTCCAGTTCTTGTGTCGGACACTCAGGCGGTTGCGGGAGGCGTCGCAAAGATGCCGTGCGACATAGCACCACCCATCCCGGGCGACAAGGTGTACCTTGTTATCTGGTACAAGGAGGGAGCTCCCTCACCCATATACAGGTATGTCCTTGCCCATTCGTCATTGATAAGATGTATGTTCGTTGACTAGCACAACGAGGGGATTGTCAGGGAGTGAATTGAATATGAGCACGAACTCCATTGTGGGGTAAGAGAAATGCATACGTAATTTCCGTGATACTTTCTGATTAATACTTAAAATTCTTATGTTTTTTAAATTTATTATTTCATATTTGAAAATAGTCTTACTGTTTAAAATAATTACTTGTTTTTATTCAGCAGTCAGTGTTTACAGAAAAATTCCGTCATATCTACAAATGATTATTGCGATTAGTAATATCGCGCATAATGAAAACGATATAACGTAAATAACTTAAGTTAATAACAATTAGTACTAACCAGTCTCATGGTATTCTAAACGTTGATAGTCGTACAGTTGGTGATGAAAATCCATAATTTTATGGAACCGGAGATTCAGTACCTTGTTCAGAAGCGTCCGCCACTGGTTGCTGTTTAGAGCCAAATTAATCCAGTCTACACCTTCTCACCCTATTTCTGTATGATCCATTTTTATAGACCCTTAATCTGTCTTCGTAGCAGCATCTTCCGACCAGGTTTTACGACCAGACCTTTGTATGATTTCTCATTTCGAACACGCTTTCTACATTGCCTTGCTCATCTGATCGTCCTTTGTATAACCATCCTATTATTATTTATTTATCTATAATTAATATAGGCTAAAAGTGATTTATCTAAAGCACTGATTATTTATTTCGCGTGTTCCTCATTTCATCGGAAAAATATTTAAATTTAGTACGTGTTACTGCTGATTGTATGCAACCCGTTATCGCAGTATTACTTTTAAACTCCACAAACTTCGCAGCAAAATAGTACATCATTAATCACGAACATGTTATACCATTGTTATTTGAAATTCAGGAAAAAGGAAGGGAGTGTTGAACGAGGCGAACTGCATTCATTCGTTTTACGCCTACATTCATGCCACTGTAATTGGTAGATGCCTGAATTGGCATTGCTCTCACCATTCCGCTATTTGAATGTATCATTAGGAAGAATTGGAAGACTGAGCGGGAGAGCGAGCAATCAAAAAATGTTAAAACTAAACGAACTTTATAACCTCGTTTATCCGTTTGACAAACTTGTGATATATGCAACTGTTTGTGAAGCGTTAACCGGCATCGTTACAAGCGCCAGTTGAAATTGGATCATTTATTGCAGTTGTACAATCCAAACGAATATCGATTGCAACGATCCAATAACTTTCAATAATCCACACATTATTTCTAAACGGATAGCCCACATTGATACTTCGTTATTATTTTAAGTGTATTATAATCATTATTCTGGGTGAAGTTGCCGTGAAATTGATACGGTTTAAGACAGACATGTCAACCACGCTGTCCTCTTCGATGGATTATGAGGTCTTAACTCCGTCCTCGAATTATCAACGTTTTCAGATCCCAGATGTTCCAATTTTAATACATTTTAATATTCGGATGCGTGTAAAATATCTACTTGTGTACAGCTGTTTTGTATCTAAACTAAATAAAGTGGATATGTGTTTCAATGAAATTCGCATTTGTGTGCGCTTCTAGGAAAGCAGAGGCATGGAAAGTATATATTAAGCAAGTGTTTGCAGCTATTAAAAATAGGCGGTTATGATTTTCCCCACCCATATAACGGCTCCTGCAGCAGTCACATCCCTTTTAAGCAGCTCTTTCTTATCGTAAGAGTCTGACGTGCCTGGTTTGAAGAGACATTGAACTTACTGAATATGACAGATCTATGGGTTAGTATTTTATTGTTAAATTTTTTGTAAATTTATCCGTGTCTTATCATAATAATTCTAAATTAAGTACTTCAGATAATAATAAATTATGTTTATTACGAAAGTGTAAATGTATGTTATCATACACTTTGTTATTAATTGTTCGTACCTTTTTTGACGAATAAATTAAAAATTAAAAGAAACAACCATGATTTTCTCTTTGGTCTCCAGTACTACATAGCCTCGTGTTGGATTAGTAATCATGTAAGCCTTTGGTGAAGAATTATGAGACTTATCAGGGGAGCTAAGCTAGTGGTGAATGGAGACTGAGTACACAAGAATTCTTTTTTGTTTGTTTCAGCCGTCTTATCGTTGTTTCACATTGCATAAAGAATTCCTGTAACAAAATATTGGATACTTTTTCGAATATCTGTTGCCATTCATCTTCACACGATGTATATTTAGTAACGCTGGTGACGATCCTGCCACAAAACTTAGTGTATTCGCCGTGTTATTACCAACTGCAGTAAACTAAAGTGTTCGAATTTCGGGTATCCTCCAGCGAAAAAACGTCCCCACCAAATTTTACCACATTCTGCCGTCATAAACGTATGCATGTAAATAATTAACTATCAACTTATAAATGTACATATTTGTTAATTATTTACATATATCTACGTATAGTGTGTTGCTGCTCTTATTAGAATTTTGCTACCTAGACTAGGATTACATGTCCTGTTAAAGGAAATTAGTTCGTTTTTTTTATATCTAGCTGCTACCTGCAGGCTGCCACACCGTGGCAACGCGCCTGGCATTAATTTCATGCCTCCACGCTGTGCTGTCGATAGTTCAATCAACCGTTGACCAGTTATGGGCATTAACTGTGGACTCGTTCATTCTGCGTGTGATGGGGATTTAACGGACTCCGTCGGGACGTAGCAAGCAGTCGGCCTCGTTTCCACTCTCAAGCAGGAGAGAAAATTCGAAATCCTGTTGACACTTTTGGTTTCGCATTCGTCTGACAGTCGCTGTTCTACGTGAATTAATAATAATTAACCGTAGGGCGTCATTAATTTCAACTGTTTTTTCAGATGTTACTGATAAAAGAGCCTCAGGTGTAAATGACTCGTTGACAGATGGCGTGAAGATAATCCTGAAGGCCTGCTAATGAGCGATATCATGTTTATTGACAAAACACTGGTACTTATAACGCCATGTTATTGTAGGCAGACACTGCAATTTCAACTACAGAAGACAATACGGGAAGAGTATCAACTGTGTAGTCAGGCAGCATTCAGAAATAAAGTGACAGTTGTATTGAATTGGCCCATACAAACTAATGAAGCAGCAGAAACGAATGACCCTATTATTGTAGTTAACAAACAATACTGGAACTTGACATGTCTTAGATGTAATCGTCTGTGCCCTCAGAAATATGACAACGGAAGAAAAATAATGCTGTTTATATAAATTTGAAACGATAAATCCAGCGTATATGGAATTGAAGGACATATCTTAGGTTACACCATGCTTTTGATTATAACATTTTAAAATTTAATTTCAGATAATTTCACTTAATTGTAAGTCTCTTTAATTCTTAGTAAAATTATTTTCGGCTGTCCAGTATTACGCTGAAGAACGGCTTGATTTTAACTTTGTTCTAACTTTACGTGTAGGCGAAGTAAGTCCCGTACGCTCACTGTGCAAATGTGTGTAGCTGTGAGCTGCATTATGCATACGTAAATAGTATGACATAACCGTTTTAGAGGACCATACTGCCTCTATCTTCAGGGCTAAACGGATGAAGGTTAACGAACTAAAAAGATAAGGGCCGAATCGTGCTTGAGCTGAGGGCAAGACGACGTCCCTTGGTTTGTTAAACTATTCCTGGGTGCGAAATGCATAGCTGGAATCAGAAACCTGTGCCTTATTAACTATAACTGGGTATATGTATACCCTAATGGGATTGTTTTAGCTGAAGGCCATGACATGTTCTGAATAAGTTCTTTTGTTGCTGGTTGGAGGATAATGTCATCAGGCTGGGGGCCTCCATGGCTGGGGAAAGCGGGTAGCTTCTTTTAAAGTCGCCCTGGAATTATCCTTGAAACAGAAAAAGCATTCAGGTTAGCCGAATAAAGTTAGACACAAATCGTTGTATCGACATTGGCGCCCTGCATGCTGAACATCAGCCATCCTCGGTTAACCACGGGTGACTTCAGACAGCGCTTGGTAGGCACAAGTGTCTTCCAGGTTGCCGAACTAAGGGGTTCCTCACAGTCCATTACACGACGGATGAGTTGCTTATAAAGCAGCACACCTGTTCTGAAGGACAGGCCACTTCATCAAGGAGGGGCCCAAGCCCGCAGCTCAAAGACTGGGCGTGCTTGGACCGACAGGACGTTATGGACGATCGACATGGGATGTAGCGAGACCCCCGTGTGGTCGAGAGTCAGTGAGGATAGAACAGAGGGGCAAGACAGACAAGACGGTTGAAGTTGCTGCCACGGGCACTGAAGA